TGTTGTGGCCTCTCCCGTTGCGGAGCACAGGCTCCGGATGCGCAGGCTCAGCGGCCATGGCTCACGGGCCCAGCCGCTCCGCGGCACGTGGGATCTTCCCGGACCAGGACACGAACCCGTGTCCCCTGCATCGGCAGGCGGACTCTTAACCACTGCGCCACCAGGGAAGCCCCGGATTCTTAATTATTAAGCAACAAGTTACTTGGTGCTGACCACATGCTAGATACTGTGCATGACATTTATCCATTTGCTCAAGCAACAAGGCCTATGTGCCTATGGTGGGGCAGGCCTGTCCTAGGTGCCTGGGGAACTTAGCTTCTAAGCACTTTCATACTTGTATGCGTCATTTTACAGAGAAGCAAACTGAGGCCCAGGGAGGTTAAATGACTTGCCCAAGGTCACCTAGCTAGTGAGTGGCCAACCTGGGAGTTTAATATTGGTTTTCTGATCCTAATTGTGGTTCTTTCCCTTGCTAACTGCCAGAAAGCAAAGGTACAGAAGGAAAAATGCACAAAACCCATTTGGTAGATAAAATATAGGTCAGTTTATGAAAGATAATTTAGGCACCAGACCTGACGTCTATTCTAGTTGTCCAAGCTGCATACCCTTATAACAAAACAATCTGTAAGAAAAGATGGCATTCCTGTGGTCTGAAATTTCATGCCTCATGCAAGTGGTGTTTATTTCTTCCTGCAAATTACAATCTGCATTGACATTATTAAGGAAGTCACATGGGCCCAGCAGAAAATGAAGAATCCAACTGATTATTTTTATTGCTGTAGAAGTCTTTTGTAGGCAGGCTGGGCAGAGACCCAATTTCATTTGCTTGTAATATTGCAAACGCTGCTAATTGCCTGTCGTTGGTAAAGGATAGAGACAAAGGAACAATCAAAGGTATTTATTAGAAATTCTGTTTGGACAAATTAGCTTCACATTTCAGTGGCCTTCATCTCAGTACAGAACACCAAAACTCCATGTGTTAATAAATGACAGACATGACATCACCTTTCCTACTGTTTGTACAGTTGTTTCTGGCAATGCTGTAAAGTACCATTGAATTGATTATTTTCAGGCTGACTTTTTTTTCTGCAGAGCTTGAACTATCAGTGGATTGCCATTCAATCCAATATAGTAGTTGTGAGACTACATTGCGTCTTAATGTGTGTGTCTCGTGCATAAATCACACTGTTTGCCAGGCAATAATGAACAGAGAAGCTGCTAAGAGACTGGAAATCAGTGTTCAACAGATAACTGGGTCTTATAGAAGGAAGGTGGGAATTCGCTGAACATTTGAGGGTCCAGTGGACTCTGGCTTCATCTCTGGGACCCACAGCCCATCAGAATGTGGGCCATATGGTTGGTGCTTAATAAATCTTTATTGACATGACATCCTTTTAATGTTTATAAAAGTTGCCTTAACTTTCTAGTCTGATGTACATTTTCTCATTCATTCATTCTTTCTGAGAGCTCAGTGCTGTTGGGGGTATGAAGAATCGTGCATTGTCTTTGCCCACTGAGCTATAATCCTGTAAAGGCTACAAAACAAGTGCATAGTAATTCTAATAGTGCAAGGTGGGGAGCGGTCTGTGGTATGAAAGCTTTGCTCTTGGGAGAGGTGGCAGGCCATGGGCTTAGAACCAGACTCTCAGTTCAACTCTTGGCTCCTCCGCTTACCAACTGTGTGATCTTGGGCGATTTGCATAACCTCTCTCAGTACTAATTTTCTCATCTGTGAGATGGGAATAAACCATAGTAATATGTACATGATGGGGCTGTTAGAGGAGGACCTGGCACTCAGCTCAAGAAATGCAAGTTTTTGTTATTACTGTTTATTCTGGGAGTTCAGGCATCACTTCTAACTTGGCAGCAAGGCAGGACTGTGATGGGCGAGGCTTGGGTAAGCTGAGTTGTGTGCGGGAGGAGAGTCCCTTTTGCGGGCAGGAGCTAAAAGCCAGAGCCTGGGCAGGTGGACATGGGGTGCAGGTCCCTCTGACGTGAGTGGGGGAAGTGAGAGGAGATTGGAGAAGTAGGTGGATTGTCATGGAGGGACTCATGGATCCCTGCAGACTGGCATGTTATTCAAATTTTCCCTAAGAATCAGGCCAGTCCTCATAGGCTAAGGGGAAGTGAAAATCTGTTGCTTGAGGCCTGGCTTCCCCGGAGATCCAGTATTTTATCCTAGAAATGAAATTCAGTCACTGCTTCACTGGGCAAATCCGTAAATTAAAGCAAGCAGAAAACACAGGCATTCTCCAACTTCTACATTATCCATCTCTGAGACTGTGGGAACTTCCAGTAGGGGCAGTCAGGGTAGACACAAGTCGTCTACAAGCTTAAAGGGGACACATTACCAATGATTTTCAAACCTTTTATGTTCCTCTGTGTGGAGTTTTGTGCCCTTTAAGATGACATAGTGAATATTTTTTCCTAAATTAATACATTTCAAAAGCCTGTAAAAGGTCTGTGAGCGCCACCCACATCTCCTCTCTCTCAGCCCTTTCCAGTTCCGTCCCCAGGAGGTGGTCTGTTGCGGATGAGCTGCTAAGCAGGCTTTCTGGAAACCAGGGGACCAGCCCCTGAACCATGGTGGTTGTCTCACCCCTGCTTCCTTCTTTCACTTCTTCCTTCAGCTATCACAGGGCTCACGGGGTCTCAGAAGCACCTTACCCCATCCTAAGATATATCTTGGCAGAGAAAATCATGGCAGGTTTTGTTTAAAAAGGTAGGAGATGGCAGAGCCCCTTTCTTCCCTGGAAGAAACTCTACAGACAACCTTCTGGCTTCATCATTTAATGCCTGTGACTTCAGTTGAAGGGAAAATATCTTTAAAAGGAAAACGTAAAGGAGCTTGGTGGGGATGCTTTCAGTCAGAGCTCAGCGAATACTGGGTAACCGGGAACTCAGCCTCTGTGGTGCAGGACTGATTGTTCTGAGACAGCACTGCTCTTGACTGACATAGTGAGTTAGAATGAGCCTGATTATTGTTGGGATGCAGGAAGAACCCTGAGCACAGTGCAATCCAACAGAAACAGAAAGGCTATGTACTTCAAGGCCGAATGAAACTTCTCTGAGCTAACTGCTATGAGGCCGCAATCGTAGAACATTTTACAGCCCCCCAAACTGGGGACACATGCCATCCATTTGATTCTGACACAGCCCTGTGAGGAAGGAGGTCTTAACCTTGTTTCGCAGGTGAGGAAATGATGCTCAGAGAGGCTTGTTTAAAATGTTACAGAGCTAGCACCTGGCAGAGCTTCTGAGGGTCCAACTGCTAACTCCACGCTCCTTCCCTGGCACCACGCCACTGTCATTTGGTATGCAGCCAGCAGAATGGGGTCCACACCAGCTGATGGACTGACCCCTGTGTATCTATTCTTAGTGTGAATCGCTATACCCGGGCCTCAGTTTACCCAGCTGCATGAAGGAGGGGACTGACTCCAAATTACACCTATGATGCTGGCCCAGAAGGAAGGCATAACAACTCGGCACATAAAAGAAGTCAAGAGGATTGAGGACCAAGAGGAGCCAGTCTACACTGCTCCCTGGGACTGTGTCCCTGGCAGGATGGTATGCAAAATGTGATATTAGACTAAATGGGACAGAAAAGGAAGCCTCCCAGTACCATGTTTTTCCCCTGGATATTTCATAGGCTCTGCTCTGAGGGAACCTGTCCTGTTTTCTTCCCAAATGAGCTCTGGGGGCTACGTGGCACTCTGCTGTACCAGAGACTTGGAGAACCTGGCTGCCAGAGCGGATGCATCTGGGCTGGAAGCCCAAGTCCATTACTTCTGGGGTGATCACTTAGCCCAGCTGAGACTCGGTGTCTTCATCTGTGAAATGGGGACATATAGGAATACCCTCCTCCCAGGGCTGTTGTGAGAAGTGAGACAATGCATGGACCATGCTTGGCACACTGTCTGGCATAAGAAATGTCCCCTAAATATCAGTAATATGTCACTTTTATTGCTAACATTTGTTCAGTGGTCACTCTGTGTCAGGCACTGTGGTAACCACGTTATATAAATTAAGTCACTCAATCCTTTTAAATGACATAATGCAAATAAAGAGCTTCACATAGTTCCTGGCACGTGCAAAGTGCTCACAGTGGTACCTGTTGTTAAGGTAAGGTTTTGCACAGTTAAACCTGCCCAGGTCTGGGCCTTGTCCTGGCATTGTCATGGGGACCGAATGCCATGATTTAGCTCGTGTGGTCCTTCAACATCTCCCTTTGTTGTAAATCCATTTATTGCTCAAGGCCTAGCACAGATGCCAGCTTCTCACAGTTTTGTGGTTCACTGGTAGAGACAGACTTGTGAATCAGTTGCAGTTGCAGTGTAGTTCTGGGAGTGCCTCAGCCTGGGGTGACTGTGAGGTGTGGTCATGGGAAACAGGAGGGGGACAGTCACCTCTGATTTGAGGGCAGGAAGGTCAGGGAAGGTGTAAGGGAGAAAAGACACTCGAATTGGGTCTTGAAGGAACAACAAGAGTTTGTTGGGCAGAGGAGAGGAAGGAGGCCATATTCAGGAAGCTGTAGGTCATTGGGGAGAGTCGGCGAGCAGGCAACAGGAGGTGGTGGAGGGCCTCGGTGGCCAGGCTAAGTTGCATTTTCTCCGGAGGCCGTGACGAGCTATTGACGGATTTTAAGCTGGGAAGAAGCATGACTAAATCTGCCTCTCTGAAAGATCACTAGGATTGCTGGGTGAAGGGTGGATAGGAGAGTGGGACCCGCTAAGAGCCTAGAGCAGGAGTGCAGGGAAGGGGGGTAAGGGTGTGAGGAGGACAGGAGCAATGGGGGCGTAGGGAAGGGAGGCGTGTGAGAGACACGATGGGGTGAGGGCCAGCTGGAGTCAGTGACTGGCCAGATGTGGGGGAGGGAGAGAGAGCGGTCCACGGTGACTTCAGCGCTCTGGCTCGGGGAGGTCTGACAAGGGAGGCCTGAGAAGGGGCCGTGTAAGGTGGCATTTGAGAAATCACTAGTTTCCTCAGCACGGGCAGTTTGGTAAACAGAGATGGGCACCTCTCTGCTTTGGCCCCTGGACTGAGGTCCTGGGTCCATGGGGACCTGGAGACTCACCAGCCAGTTCTGGCTGCCCCAGTGTGAGAGGGACTGTGTGTCCATGAGGGGATGAGGACTGTGTACAGAGAGGGGAGTCGAGGAGCCTGAGGATGTTTAGCCTGGGTTGAGGGGCTGAGGAAGCTCTTACCCTCACCGTGACCCTTCATGTGTTCATGGCGGAGACCTAGCTCTTTGTGTTCCTGAACATCAAACTCTGACATGTGAGTGAGAGCCAAAAGATGCTAGATCTGGGCTCAGCATAAGGGAGACTTGTTTCCTTGTCTACAAGATGGTGACAAACCGCCTACGTCAAGGGTGGAGGAGGGTGGATGAGAAATGCTTTTAAAGCGCTCTTTCCTGCTCCCAGCTCAGAGGATGTGCTCCCTAGTGGTCAGGATGCCCCTGGAAGAACTCTTCCACCTGAGGTCCCCATGCTGCCTGCCCCAGTCCCTGGAGCTCTCAGCAGAGGAGGGACAGTAGCCTCACAATGGACACAAAAGGGTTTCGGATCAAGTGGCTTAAGCGTTACCCTCCCACTCCAAGACGACACAATTCCTGGGTGAGTAGATGGATCTGGTGTGGCTGCAGTTTTAGCTGACAGTGAGTCATGAAAAGGTGGCGACGTTCCTTTTAACCAGATTTGCCTCAACTTGAGACAAGATAGAGAACGTCAAATGGCTGTAGCCTTCCAGGAAGACTAGAGTAACTGGTCCTGACTTGCGTAGGTTGGGGATGGTTAGGACACTTGATCCTTTGGGAGGCAGCTTGGTATGCTGGAATGAGCAAGAGATTTGGGGTCAGGGAACCTGGCACGAAGCCTGTCTTTGTCCCTTACCAGCTCCGTGACCTTGGACAAGTCACCTAACCTCTAAGACTCATGTTCCTCCTCCTCTGAGTTGTTTAAAGGAAGGCAGGAGGTGATGTAGGCAAAGCCCCTCACTGTGCCTGGCATATAGTAAGTACACAGGAAATTATCACCAAATCCATAGCTGAGCCAGCTGACGTGAGAAAAATATTAACTGGAACAGTTTCTTTTCCTCCTACCTCCCGGCTGCATCTTCGGATGCTGTCCCCAGACATTTCCCCTGGAGTTCTGTCTGTGGGTTGTCATTTTGTCTGTTTGCCTTTCAGCCTCCTAAAGTCTCGCTAATCGCACAGGAAATGGGTGGGTAATGGGTTTCTCTGTTGTTCCACTGGCCTCCCAGTGAGTCGTACTGTTTTGCCTTCCTCACCACGGGGGCTTCTCACACCCTCTAATGACTGTTTTCCTTTCAGAAATGGCATATTTTTAGACAAGAGCATTTCCTGTGGTTCATCTCTGACTCTCTGGCAGATCTCTGATTTCTCATCATTTTTCCCTGCCTCTCTCTGGTCACATAAAACCCGCCCCAGCAGCATGTGTGCAGGAAACGCAGGAACCACACACTCCCAGCAGCCATCCCTGCTCTGAGCTGACGTTCAGGGACTGACACCCTGGGCCAGGGCGAGGCTGTCCTTGGTTGAGGTGTTGGGTCTGAGTAGTTGGGACTTCAGTGGATATTTCTTCTGGCTGCTGTCCTGCCCCTCCAGCTGGCTGTCCAGCTCCCCTGTGCCAGTGTTGGAGGGTGGTAGTGGTGGTGGTTTTAGAGTTACCCGAAACACTCACCCTTCTTAGTCAAACCCAAATTGAAATGACCCCCTTCCCCTTTGATTAACAACATAGACATACTTGGGTTTGAATCATGGCTTCTTCATTGACTAGCTTGGTGAGTGCCTTAAATGCTCTAAGCTTCAGTTTCTTTATTTGGAAAATGGGGATAATATTAGTAAGTCTCTCAGGGCCATTGTAAAGATTATATGAAACACAGTATGTAGGGAAAATGCTTAGCAGCCATACCTGGCACTTAGTTGCTCTTATGATGTCTAATTTAACTAAGTATAATGATTTAATTATAATTACATTGTAAACTTATAATATTTATAGTTTTATAATTTAATTATAATGATTTATGTATATGTTTTTCTCCCCTCTCAGACTATAAGCCCCTTAACGGAAGAAGCTAGATCTTCTTCAACTCTGAATGCAAAGGGCAGAGTAAGTAGCCAGTAAGTGTCTGAGGGGCTGAGGAGTGTAGCTCAACAGATTTAGGAGCCCAAAGAGCTTAATTACATTTGGCAAATTTGGAAAGTTCACAGTCTGTCAGGGATGCTGTGCAAGGCATGAAGGAAGGTAATGAGAAGAAGTACACACCTGGGTCCCTGCCACCAGGGAGCTTCAGTGGGGAGACGGGCAAGAGGCAGAAGGAGGGGAGCCCAAGGGGGATTCAGAGAAGGGAAAGGGCATGCGGCTGGGCTGCGGGCCGGAGAGTTATCAAGAATGACAGATATGATTGGGTGAGGGGAGGGGGAGGGTAGAGGATCACCCTTAGACACCTGCCTTTCCTAAGCCTTTCTACACAACAAGAATTGGATAGTCATGCATTTCTGGTTGGTTTAATTCACTCATTTAGTTGAGTCACATTTTTGGAGCACTGACGCTAGATGGATCTCCCGTCACTGTTTAACCCACCCCTAGATCACTGTGACATGTGTGTGGCATTCAGATAGTCTCTCCCTCTCCTGTGACCATGACAGACATGGCTGACAGGACCACAGCATTCTTCCACACTGAGCATGGTGTCATCTCACAACCCTCCATACGGCAGTCATCCCTGATGGAATGGAATAGGTACTTGGCTGAAAGCCACTCCTAGATCACTGGGTATGTGCTGAGGCTGCTATACATTTCAAAAGTTTATAATTTTCCCCACAAAATGCTGCCGTGCTTCAACTCTTTCCACCTTTGTTTATGGAAGCCCATTTCTCCCCCCTTGCTTGGAATATTAGAGAGCTGTTAGGTATTAGGAAGACGAAAGGCAGGCAGACAAAAGGACAAGTCTCCACCTTTATCTACTTATGTTTGGAATGTGTTGGAAAGATTTTAAGTTTGACTTTGGATCCTGAGGTTAAATTTGATTTTTTCCTGTATTTTTGTTTTTAAAAATTCTGTATTAAGCGAATATTACTTTTGTAATAGACAAAATGCATTTTATAAAAACGCATTTTATTTTTAAAGTTTATAAAATTTATTCAGACTTTATCACTATAGACCCTTTCGTACCCTTTGAACAGTGAGCTGTGCGATGTATTACCTAATAAAAATAAAGTCAATAAATTAAAAGCTTGTCTTTGTGTTTGCACCTGTGAATACCCTATTTTACCTGAACAAATTTCCACGTACAGAGTCTTTTGGTTTCAAAGAACATATTGCACGAAGATAATGAAGATGATGGAAAATCATCTAGCATTGGGAAGGATGTTCACTGAGGAGTGATCAAGATGTGATACTAGGGTCTTTGAGATATGCAGGATCCTTGTATGTAACTGGCATAAACGCCATTATTTGAGCTCTCTTAATCACTTCTGTGATTAAAAAAAAAAACAATCCAAAACAATCCAACGGCACATTAAAAGGATCATACACCATGATCAAGTGGGGTTTATTCCAGGAATGCAAGGATACTTCAATATACGCAAGTCAATCAATGTGATACACCATATTAACAAATTGAAGGAGAAAAACCATATGATCATCTCAATAGATGCAGAGAAAGCTTTTGACAAAATCCAACACCCATTTATGATAAAAACCCTACAGAAAGTAGGCATAGAGGGAACTTACCTCAACATAATAGAGGCCAAATATGACAAACCCACAGCCAACATCGTCCTCAATGGTGAAAAACGGAAACCATTCCCACTAAGATCAGGAACAAGACAGGGTTGCCCACTCTCACCACTCTTATTCAACATAGTTTTGGAAGTTTTCACCACAGCAATCAGAGAAGAAAAGGAAATAAAAGGAATCCAAATCGGAAAAGAAGAAGTAAAGCTGTCACTGTTTGCAGATGACATGATACTATACATAGAGAATCCTAAAGATGCTACCAGAAAACTACTAGAGCTAATCAATGAATTTGGTAAAGTTGCAGGATACAAAATTAATGCACAGAAATCTCTTGCATTCCTATACACTAATGATGAAGAATCTGAAAGTGAAATTAAGAAAACACTCCCATTTACCATTGCAACAAAAAGAATAAAATATCTAGGAATAAACCTACCTAAGGATACAAAACACCTGTATGCAGAAAATTGTAAGACACTGATGAAAGAAATTAAAGATGATACAAACAGATGGAGAGATATACCATGTTCTTGGATTGGAAGAATCAAGGTTGTGAAAATGACTATACTATCCAAAGGAGTCTACAGATTCAATGCAATCCCTATCAAACTACCACTGGCATTTTTCACAGAACTAGAACTAAAAATTTCACAATTTGTATGGAAACACAAAAGACCCTGAATAGCCAAAGCAATCTTGAGAACGAAAAACGGAGCTGGAGGAATCAGGCTCCTGGACTTCAGACTATACTACAAAGATACAGTAATCAAGACAGTATGGTACTGGCACAAAAACAGAAAGATAGATCAATGGAACAGGATAGAAAGCCCAGAGGTAAACCCACGCACATATGGTCACCTTATCTTTGATAAAGGAGGCAGGAACGTACAGTGGAGAAACGACAGCCTCTTCAGTACGTGGTGCTGGGAAAACTGGACAGCTACATGTAAAAGAATGAAATTAGAACACTCCCTAACACCATACACAAAAATAAACTCAAAATGGATTAAAGACCTAAATGTAAGGCCAGACACTATCAAACTCTTAGAGGAAGAACACTCTATGACATCAATCACAGCAAGATCCTTTTTGACCCACCTCCTAGAGAAATGGAAATAAAAAGAAAAATAAACAAATGGGACCTAATGAAACGTAAAAGCTTTTGCACAGCAAAGGAAACCATAAACAAGATGAAAAGACAACCCTCAGAATGGGAGGAAATATTTGCAAATGAAGTAACTGACAAAGGATTAATCTCCAAAATATACAAGCAGCTCATGCAGCTCAATATCAAAAAAACAAACAACCCAATCCAAAAATGGGCAGAAGACCTAAATAGACATTTCTCCAAAGAAGATATACAGATTGCCAACAAACACATGAAAGGATGCTCAACATCACTAATCATTAGAGAAATGCAAATCAAAACTACAATGAGATATATCATCTCACACTTGTCAGAATGGCCATCATCAAAAAATCTACAAACAATAAATGCTGGAGAGGGTGTGGAGAAACGGGAACCCTCTTGCACTGTTGGTGGGAATGGAAATTGATACAGCCACTACGGAGAACAGTATGGAGGTTCCTTAAAAAACTACAAATAGAACTACCATATGACCCAGCAATCCCACTACTGGGCATATACCCTGAGAAAACCATAATTCAAAAAGAGTCATGTACCACAATGTTCATTGCAGCTCTATTTACAATAGCCAGGACATGGAAGCAACCTAAGTGTCCATCAACAGATGTATGGATAAAGAAGATGTGGCACATATATACAATGGAATATTACTCAGCCATAAAAAGAAACGAAATTGAGTTATTTGTAGTGAGGTGGATGGACCTAG